TTTATGCTCCAGGGAACAATTAGAAGTTTGATTTTTTCTAAAAAAATGATTTATTTATTCATACAGAATTGGGGTACAGGCTAGAGATGTGGAGGGTGAAAGGCTTCACCAGAGACAGAGCAGGGAGCAGAACAGGCAGATCATGGAAGTACACTGCTGAGGGGAGCAGCAGGCGGGTCAGGAGAGGTCTGCCTCGCCATGTAGATCACCCTTCAGGCGGGGATCGAACTCATGCTGAAGTGGCTTTAGCTTCTTAATGCTGTGCTTTAACTGGCTGTGTCACCAGGGAAGGCCCCCAAAACCCATTTTTATTTAACATCTACACATATAGTATATAAATATATTTACTGTATTTTGTAGTGTTATAATTTATAGCAGTAAAATTTATAACAGAACAAGATTGCATCAAATCTAAATGTTCAATAAGAGGAGAATGTTTATGTAACTTTCATTTTTAAGTCCTCTTTTATTGCTCATTAACATTATTTCCAATTTTTAACTGCTATAATATTTTCCCTCAAATCTTTACATAGAAGTCTGTATTTCATTTAATTTTTAAAATCTTTGTGTATTCTTAAAAACTTGGCTTTCGGACAGATCTATAGTAATGAAATTCTGAAGCCAAATGGCATATCTTACAAGCTTTGAATTTACAAAATCAAGTCACTTATAGAATGGCAGTACTAATTCAAAATGCCAGTTTGATAAAAGGAAAAATAGTACCTAACGTTATTTTTCCTTCCTTTCACTCTAAATGAGTACATTATTTTCCACATTATTTATTCTTTATTTAGACTTTTTTACTTAATATTATCTTAGCATTTGCTTATTTCTTCCCACAAATTTGCCATCATTTCTTTATGAAGAAAAGATATTAAAGAAAATCTTAATATTCTTTATAAGTTTGTTTTTGCAAAATGCTTAAAAAAATAGACTGTAAGATATTATCAATGAATACAAGCACCATATAACACTGCCCACTGAAACACTAAAAAGTACAAAAGTTCACAACATATTGTAAGGAAAATTCATCAAGAATCTGCTCTGTTAACTTGGAGGTACCAGACATACCATATGCTGTGTCTAGGAGTTTCTATGACAACTACTTTTAAAATTTAAGAACAGGATAAATTGTTGCCTAAAATCTCCATAACTTAGTGAGTCATTTAAAATCTTGTCAGAGCACTGTATGGTTTTTAATACCTGATAATCTTATTACTTGTAGGTCTATAGCATGCAGAATCTTTGTCAGAGAAGAATGTGTTTATTTCTGACTACTTAAGATCCTGGAGAAGAAGTTGTTCATTGGGATTTTTTTTCTGATTAGCTAAGTGAGCCGCTGAGAAGCAGCTATGAACATGTAAGAGTGAAACAGAAATTTTTGAGCCCTTGCTTCAAATAAAGAAACTGGAGTAAAGAGGCTGGGTCACAGTTTTTTGGAGGTGAAGAACTGGGATCATTTTAGGTTTCTTGCCCTGATTTTTACTACCATAGTGGGGCATTTTTAAAGTTTAATTAATGCTTAGGAAAATAGCCATGTTTTCAATAAGATAAAACATTAACTCACCCCTTTTCCCCAAACTGAACTTCCAGTTTTATAATACAACTATCAGTTTCTAATTTTCTCCACCTCCTGTCAGCCTCAGTTTCCAGTTTTATTATCTATGGTTTCTTATGATGCTAACTGATATTTTAACTATTTTCTACTTTCCTCAGACTCTTATTCTTAGTCATACTTGCCACAGAATTATGATACACCATGATTTTTAGTTAATTCAACAATAGAATTTATGAAATCATGACCTTATGAAACTATTGTTGACTGCAGAAAAAAGTTGATTCCATTTTCAGGCAATAAAAAGTTTAGCTATAGTTAATAAATATCTCTTAAGAATTTCTAACTTTCTATGCACCTATCACTATATATATTTTTTGTTATATACTAAACAATTAAAAAATCTATAGAAACAATTCTAAACACTTGACAGTTCCAAACTTGCTCTGGGGTTGGGGGCAACAGAGAGGGGTCAAAACAGACTTGTAGAGCATAAGGGACTACGGTGATAAATAACAGGTGCTATGGTGGTGGGAGAACTACGGGGACCATATCTGGTGAGAAATCAAATACTGTGTAAAAGTTAACAACAGTAAAAGAAAACAAATAAAAATGCTATCAAAAGAGTTTATTATAATCATTAGGCTAGCATAAATGTCATTTATTCAAATTACTGTCAGGATTTTATTTTCTGACTCAACCTTAACGACATTGGAAACTTAACTAGAAAGGTACACAAGGGAACTTTCTGGGGAATTTTGAAAGTGACTGGAATATACCCATTGTCAAAATTTACAACTAAGATTTGTGCATCTGAATTCATGCAAATTCTACCTAAAAATTATAATTGAGAATAGGTGGTAAAATAGGTGGATCTATAGATAGTAAGAATCACAGAATGGTGATAACTGCTGAAACTGATGGGTACATAAGGGTTCATTTTATATGAGTTTGACATGTTCCTTAATAAAAAAGGTAAAATAAAAGATTTAAGAAAATGCTGAGGGGAGCAGTGGGCGGGCCAGGAGAGGTCTGCTGCACCATGTGGGTTTCTCTGGCGAGGGTCTGAATTTGTGCTGCAGTGACTTCAGAGAGCTTCATAAGTGCTGTGGTTTACCCATTGTGCCATCAGAAAGGGCCCCCACATAGTTTTTTAATCTTCATTTTCTGTGTCTTTCTAAAGCTTCCTTTTCAAAGTTTTTGTTGAGGAATTTTACTAAATCTTTCCTTACCTTTTCATTTCCAAAAGTAATTCTCTGGCCAGTTTCTTTTTCTTTCTTTTCTATTCTTTCTTTCTTTCTTTTTTCTTTTTTTTTGGTATTATACCCATTGACAAAGACAGGGAAAATCAGTTATGAATAATAATTAAATAAGAAAAATATTTTTTATTGGGTGATCATAATAAAACATAGCTAAGGTATTCTTAAATACAATACCTGCCTTGTGGCTTCTATTACACAAAAGGGGTGAAGTATACCCTAATTCATACTGCAAGTTAAATTATTTTTGGTTCAGAGAAATTCTGGGGAAAAAATATGTGTTATGATGGTAACAAAAGAGCGAACAGATTTAGAATAGTGGCTTTACTCCCCTAGTACTTAGATATAACCAGTTTGAACTCCAGCTTTAAAAGAATTAAATTTATAATATGCTAACGACTGAAAAACATTTTTTTAAGAAAAGTTAAATGTAACAAAAATATTTTAAACTGCAATTTTAGTTCTTTGATACATTCACTGTTTAAAATTTGAATTTTTGCCTTCATTTTTAAACTTTCTAAAAAGTAGAGACCAATTTCCGTTTTCCTTTTTCAGCAGGGCAGGCAGCAACAATAGGCTTTTTTATTTTTTATTTTTTATAAATGTGTGATGTTAAGATGTGATACTGTGACAGTAAAAAACAAATATTTTGGTGTTTTCCCCCTCGTGGCTGGAGTTCCTGAAAACTTTGTACTTTCCTAGGCAATAAAGGTGTTAGGAGCATCTTTTATTCTAATATTTGGTTATTGACCCTGCTTCTGGCATAGCTTGGAATTTTCTGGATAGAAATCTTTTTGTTTTTATGAGGCAACAGTTGGTGGACTCCAAAACCGCTGCATGGTGGTTATTTACCAGAAAGACCAAGCTAGGTAAGAAGCTTGTGATGTTCATTGTTCTTCTCATCCTCCAGCAAGGGAAAATGGCTAGATACTGAGATAATAATTGACCAAGCCCATGTGATGAAATTTTCAATTAAGTTCTAAAGTATGGGGCTCTGTGTTGGTGAACACATGCTAGGAGGGCATAGAGCTCTGTGCCCCTTTCCACATACCTATATATATATATAGATATATCTTCTTTCTGGCTGTTCCTGAATTGTAGCCGTGCATAATAAGCTGGGAATCTAATAAGCAAACTGTATTGCTGAGTTTTGTGATCATTATAGTAAATTATTAAACTAAGGTAAATGTTGGATGTAGACCCTTTCTGACTTTCCTGTTTCTGCATCATTTGGTCATGGTGAAAGGCCACATTGAATGATGACTGAATGAAACACAATAGAGTATGGTGTGTGAGGAATCATTTCCCCTGTACCTTTCTATTATCTTGGATGAGACTCTCTGCCCCTCTCTCCTATAAAAAGACAAGTTAGCAAGAAAAAAACAAAATGAAATTTAATATCATGTATCCCTCACAGAATGGGAAAAAACCAGGAGACCTGAGTAACTCTGATGACCTGTCACCACCTTCCATGTCAAAAGATTTTGTGGAAGTTGGAGGAGTCAGTTATGAGAGGTTATCAGGCAAAACATAGTAAACAAGGTTAAGGCTGGTAAATTCTACTTGGTTTACAGAACTTCTTTTGTGTCTGCTATTTTTGAAAAATAACTGAATAAAGGTAATCCTTATGCCAAAGAGGCATATACTGGGATGGAATATTCTGCTCCCTTCAATGGAAATCCAGAAAGCAATAAGGTTAAAATAGAAACTGACTGCAGCGGAGTCTAAAGGTAGGAAATACATAAACTCGGTGTATACTCAGTATATTCAGAGACATTGTGACCCTCCTGATCTTTGGAAAATCCTGAAGAGAGCCCCTATACAAAAGGA